TACCTCTGGTTTGCGTGACCATATGTCATCTACAGCTTTGTCCACTGCGCCATACTCTACAGGTACTTCTAATTTGTCCAGCTTATAGTGGTGTCCATGCCAAGTAAGCTCGTCTGGCAGCAGGCGCACAGCTTCCCAACTGGCATTCACATCTTCGTGTCCAACAAAGGGGCCAAAGCCGGTGACGATGATCAATTTTTCTTCTGCTTCCGCTGGTGCTTCAACTGTATTCCCTTGAAGTTGAGCCATTTCTGCTGTACGACGACAATTTAATCAAAGTCGGAGCAAAAATGTTACCGAATGTGCCTTTGTTGACTAATTATTACTTTATTTGTATTTATCTACAATCGGCTTTTATTTATGAGTGCGACGCTTGTCAAACAACCTAACCGTTAGAAGATGCCGCAGGGTATTAAAAACCAAAAATCTAAAAAAAATAGGTTATAACAGCGGTGTCACCCTGCATTCGGGCACAGCAAAAACGATAAAGCAGAGAAATGTCAAACCAAATGCCATTCGTGTTGTCATATTTTTGACCTGTGTGAATTCTTGATAGTGGCGTCTGACGTGAAATTTATTGAATAAATAAAAAATGGACTTCGCACTCACCTGGTGTAGGATTTACATTTCACTTGTTAAGCAAATACTTCAGTTTTTACAATAATTCAATATTAAAAGCTCAAAGTCGCAGTAAATTAGTATCAGAAAGGCCACAGGAAAGGTGCCTATAGAACTTTTGTACACACATGGAGATATCGCTTCAAGAAGTTCAATAAATCAGTGCAATCAATAAACCTTATGAATAATTAAATATATCCATTGATGAAACGATAAATGTGTGGGCAGTGCAGGAAGGAGGCAACAAAACAATTGTAAAGTTTACATTTGGAAACAATCTGGGAAACAATACATGTAAGTTATTACATACATACTTTTATATGTCCTTTATGATGTCGATTTATGTGGTCCTATTACCGTAATTAAATAAAGGTAATCTTACTAAAGCAGAAAATTGCACTATACCTAATATGTGCAAATAAGTTGCTATACCACAGCTCTCGTCACGATTTCGAGTTTTTAATTTAAATTAAATTAATTTCAAATTTTTAATTCCAGCTTTAAAACAAACCATTTGACGACCTTCTCAAGCTCTTAACCTCAAAGCCGCAATACTCCCTACAATATTTGAAGATGTTTGGCGGTCTGCGTGACTTTATTACACGTCATCGTCGAAAATTTATAGTTACAGGCGTTGTTATTGGAGGCACATTCATAGCAATCAAATATGCACANAACCTCAAAGCCGCAATACTCTACAATATTTGAAGATGTTTGGCGGCCTGCGTGACTTTATTACACGTCATCGTCGAAAATTTATAGTTACAGGCGTTGTTATTGGAGGCACATTCATAGCAATCAAATATGCACAACGTAAACTCATTGAATTCCAAGAGCGACAAGCACGCGAGTTTTTCGAGAAGACTAGGCGTATGCAGCATTTTGAGTCGACGGAACGCACTTGTAACAAAGTAATCATTGGCATGAGCGCCGAGCTATATGCTGCAATAATACGCGAGTGCAGTACCGATGCCCTGCTCGAGAAGCTGCGTCAAAATCCTCCAAATAAGCTGGAGTTATGGGAAGAAATGAAAATTGTTGCATTCACGAGACTCACCACCNAGTGTGGGCAGTGCAGGAAGGAGGCAACAAAACAATTGTAAAGTTTACATTTGGAAACAATCTTGGAAACAATACATGTAAGTTATTACATACATACTTTTATATGTCCTTTATGATGTCGATTTATGTGGTCCTATTACCGTAATTAAATAAAGGTAATCTTACTAAAGCAGAAAATTGCACTATACCTAATATGTGCAAATAAGTTGCTATACCACAGCTCTCCTCACGATTTCGAGTTTTTAATTTAAATTAAATTAATTTCAAATTTTTAATTCCAGCTTTAAAACAAACCATTTGACGACCTTCTCAAGCTCTTAACAACCTCAAAGCCGCAATACTCTACAATATTTGAAGATGTTTGGCGGCCTGCGTGACTTTATTACACGTCATCGTCGAAAATTTATAGTTACAGGCGTTGTTATTGGAGGCACATTCATAGCAATCAAATATGCACAACGTAAACTCATTGAATTCCAAGAGCGACAAGCACGCGAGTTTTTCGAGAAGACTAGGCGTATGCAGCATTTTGAGTCGACGGAACGCACTTGTAACAAAGTAATCATTGGCATGAGCGCCGAGCTATATGCTGCAATAATACGCGAGTGCAGTACCGATTCCCTGCTCGAGAAGCTGCGTCAAAATCCTCCAAATAAGCTGGAGTTATGGGAAGAAATGAAAATTGTTGCATTCACGAGACTCACCACCTTTATTTATGCCTCCTCAATGCTAGTCATTGCCTTGCGGGTGCAACTAAATCTGCTCGGTGGATATTTGTACCAAGATATTACAACGGAAAAGAAACAAATTTCAGAAGGTCTGAAAGAACAGTACCTGTCAATCATACGACATTTCATACACGAAGGTGGCCTAAGCGAGCTAGTACGCGTGATACGCTCAAAGGTGCTGATGATTATGAAACCATTGCCTTTGACAAAACGTTTCAGCCTTGCCGATATGGAACAACTCTTCTGGACTTTACAAATGGCCATCAACAGTGATGTGTGTGATCCAAATGCGAAAATGGCTACATATTTGCTACCTCCACAGGTGCCAGAATACAATACAGTCGGGCCACTTTTACAGAAAATGTATAGTGAAACACTGGATCTACTTGAGAGCGATGACGCCTCATCAGTATGTGCAAATAACATTTGCCGGGGCTTTTCATTGGCCGTAGATGCAATTGCGGAGAATTTGGGTGAAACATTGGCGCTGGCACAGCAGCACGCAGCAAGCACAGAAAAGTCGAAAAATATGGAAAGCGGCGATGTTGCATCAGGAAAAGAAAATAGTGTACTCAATATAAATAGGGCAGAAATGGCACTAGCTAAAATTATACCCATTGTGAGTGGTTTAACTGCGAAGGGATTCGATGAGTCGTCAAGGCCACAAAATTTAGCTACCTCATTGATCACATTCTATGTTGTCGACGAGAAAAGCAAAGTATTCGGCGCGAATGTATATGAAACATTTGGCTCCACATAAGCTATCAAATAAAATTAGGCGCAACAAATGGAATGCCTATAAACCAGAATTGTGCATATGACTGCTTACAAATTTTTTATAAACATATGTACATAATATGTATATTTTCCAACCTATGCGAACAAATATGAGTCCATTAGTTTGGAAAAGCACTTTGACAAAGAAGGCTATAAGCGGACTAGTGAGTGGCATTATGAGTTCAAAAATGAGTAGCTTAAGCCAAGAAAGCATTAATTAAAAATAAAAATTGTTGCTTAAAATTAAAGTGAACACCCATTTAGTGCTCTTAAAACTATGGCATTAAATCTGTAGCTGTAAACCGGGATATAAGTTTTTCAGCAAGACAATTTAAAATTTGTTTGTCATACTACAAAATCAGCAAAGCGCTCGTCCTACTTAGCGTAGATTTCATTCCAAAAAAAAAAAAAACGAAATAAAGATTTGTGTACTCAATATACATATGTACATACANCTGTTGCTTAAAATTAAAGTGAACACCCATTCAGTGCTCTTAAAACTATGGCATTAAATCTCTAGCTGTAAACCGGGATATAAGTTTTTTAGCAAGACAATTTAAAATTTGTTTGTCATACTACAAAATCAGCAAAGCGCTCGTCCTACTTAGCGTAGATTTCATTCCAAAAAAAACGAAATAAAGATTTGTGTACTCAATATACATATGTACATACATTCTGCATGTTTCGACGCAATTTATTTATTATTTTATTTAAAAAAATTATTAATACAGTAACAATGCAGATCATATTATTAACTTTTTAGTGATTGGAAATATAATTCAAATGAATACAGAACTTCTTTCTTGTTGTTTAAATGTCAGTAATAGCAGACACTAGAGAACTTGCACGTTCCGTGGCAAAACGGAAATGGAAATGCCGGGGAATGTTACTAAAACGTGAAGCATGCTTTTGGGCTTATAACGAAGTTCTGGTGCAATAAACGTTTGCAAGTCATTTCGTTCAAAAACATTTTAATCCAAATAAAAAAAATATATATATTTTTCATAAAAGCCAGAGGAACTACGTCGAAATACTACAAAAATTAAATTTAAGTTGAATGAATAAAAGCGGATATCGTAGATGAATGTGACAATGTCAAGTTATATTTAATATTTTCCTTCAGAAATCTTCGCAAAATAAACTATGCAAATTTAGCTAAAAAAAATATTACATATTTTTACATGATTGATAATCTTATCTCACATCACGCACGAACATAAGACCAAGATATTGGAAGAACGGCTCTTCATAAAATTAACCCTGTTGCGGTCACTATAGTCAAGTGATTAGAATTGGGATTACAACCAGGGTTGCCAGGCCAGA